CAAGAAATTGGAAATCTTTTTGAAGAAAATCATGATAGAAAACTTCCCTAATTTGGTGAAGACATGCAAGTCCAGAAAGCACAGAAAGTACCAAACAAGATGGATGCAAAGAGACCCACTCCAGGACATAACTAAAATGCCAAATGTTAAATAGAAAGCGAATCTTAAAAGCAGCAAGAGAAAAGCAGTTAGTTACCTACAGGGGAGTTCCCATAAGACTCTCAGTTGATTTCTCAAAAGAAACTTTGCAGGCTAGAAGGGATTCTCAAGAAATATTCAAAGTCATGAAAAGTAGTGACCTACAGCCAAGATTGCTCTACCCAGCAAAGATATCATTTAGAATCAAAGGGCAGATAAAGAGCTTCCCAAATAAGGAAAAAACTAAAGGAGTTCATTATAACTAAACCATTATTGTATGAAATGTTAAAGGAACTTATTTAAAAAAAAAGAAGATCAAAACTATGAACAATAAAATGGCAAAATAATACAACTCTATCAACAATTGAATCTTAAAAACAAACTAAGCAAACAAGAACAACAGAGACAGAATCATGGATATGGAGAGCGTTCTGCTGGTTACCAGATGAGAGAGGTGGGTGAAGAGATGAGGGGCTTAAGAAGTATAAAAAGGTAGTTACAGAATAGTCACAGGGATTTAAGATACATTATAGGAAATGGAGTAGCCAATGAACCCACCCATGACCCGTGGACGTGAACAATGGTGTAGGAATTGCCTGAGGGAATGGGGGATGCTGGATGGAGTGGGAGGCAAAGGGAAACAATCGGGAGAACTGTAATACCATAATCAATAAAATACATTAAAAATGAATTATATGCTGGCAGATCAGCAGGGTTCAAAATGTACTAGCCACTTAAAAGTTGATCATTTGTGAGCTGCAAGAAAGAAAGAACAGGACAGGGATTTGTCTTCAAGCCAAGTAAAAGACGAGGGGAAGTCCACACATCTAATTTTAAGACTTGCCTGAGGTCTGGCCAGGTAGTTTAGTTTAGAGGATCCTGATACACCAAGATTGTGGGTTCAATCCCCAGTCAGGGCACACACAAGAATCAACCAATGAATGCACAAATAAGTGGAACAACAAATAAATGTTCCTCTCTCTCTAAAATTAATAAATAAAATTTTTTAAAAAGACATGCCTGATTTTCCCTATCAGTACACTTCTCAGAAATGTCTCCCCTTTCCTTCAGCAAAGAAATAAATGTGATAGGCTTGTGTTTGAAGGCAAATCAGACTCTAATCCAAGTTTGGAAAGGCTCCACCTAAGACTTTGTAAGGTGGCACAGGTGGCAGATGGCTCCTTCATGGGTGGTCCCACGTGGAGACTACCCGCATTGATTCAACAAGAATGGAGATGGATGTGATGGGTAGAGCCCTTGTCCTGACACCTTAGAGCAAACCCACCTATGGGCTAGAGGCATGGAGGTCAGTTTGTAATAGGAATTCACTCTATCGAATACCTGAAAACTACCATCTGTTAACCTAACATAGTGAAAATGGATTATAATTTTAATTTAGATGAATTAACTCAACAAACAGCACTGACTAAATTCTCTTGAGTATTACTTAATTTTATTTACAAGCAATGACCTTAACAATTCTGATTAGTTATAATGTTATAATTGCTGCAGTCAGAAATGTTTTAACCAATATTTATTGTTATATAAGTAACCAATATTTACTATGCTCCTAAAAAAAAAAGAACATTTTTTTGTGCATGATGTGGGAGACTGCAGATTACAGAGAAATATTTAATGCCTATGGAAAATCGATGAAATCAATAAAAACATGTTTGTATCTACTTTATATCCTTCCAGGCTTCTCCCTGCCAGAACCAAGGAAGAACCAGTGAAGTGAAATTCAGTGACACATTGTCCTCCCATCCCATACACCCATTCCTTTACAATGCATTATGAGAGAACAACTCTTTTACAAAAATGGGTGGAAAATAGATAAGTTTCTTGGCACCAATAAACTAATAGATTGTAATTAAAGGCAATCGTTTCTCGGAAAAGAATTTAAAATTTGAAATCCTTGCACTACTCTAGAACTGGGAAGGGGTGTGGTATTAATACCAGACTTAGAAGATTTCTTTTTAGGTGAGGAAAGAAAGTAAAACCAGAAGGAACTGAAGGAATTCAGAGTGAGTCTGCATGCCAGAGAAAACCATAGCAGTTGCTCAGAAAGCATTTACTGAAATCCCCTGTTCTGCCATTCGTGCCTGAGTGCTAACCCGGCTTCAGTCATACTGAGGCTGTCACTCAGTCTTAGCAGACAGCCATGTGTTGTTTTGGTCTGAAATGTAGCAGTCTTTCTTAATTCTCCACCCACAAAACCCCAAAATGTATTCTGTCCTTCTCAAGTTTATAAACATGCATGAAAACCCAGAAGTTGACGTGTCTAGGCTGCTTTCTCATTTGGTTGCACAACTAAAAAATAAGTTTTAATTTAAAAATAGAACTTGGCACATGAATAGTCCATTGGAATGCTTTAATAAAAATAAATGGCCATGATATTTAACTTAGAAAAGCATCAACTATACAGGCATGTATTCCTGCTTTGATGTTTTTATTTTGTTACCTCTGAAAAAAAGCATGCATTTTAAGAAGACTCATTACACTGGGTAAATTTCACAGACATATGACCTTGCTTTTACTGAGCAACAGAAAGAAATTTTTAAAAATAATAGGCCTTCAATTATCTCATCAAAATTAATTTTCATTGTTTCCAAAAATCTTTTTTGTCTTTGTCTATACACATTTGTATCATCATAATTATATTTGGTGTTTCCACAATTTTAAATTGTTTTCACTTAACATCACATTTCCCATGTTGTTTCATAGTCAAAATAAAAATTTTGACTTTTATGCTATCTTAATCTAGTTTGGGATTTGGATAACATTCACATTGTTAAAAACTAAGATTATACATATTATACGTGTGTATGTATTGAGAGAAGCATTGATTTACTGTTCCACTTACTTATCCATTCATTGGTTGATTCTTGTATGTGCCCTGACCAGGGATCAAACTGGCAACCTTGGTGTATCAAGACGACGCTCTAACCAACTGAGCTGCCTGGCCAGGGCCAATATTTCCCATATTTTTATATGTTTCAGACCAAAAAATGTATAAAGCATGAAAATGATTTCTTCAAAGTTTGAAATAAATCCAATGAGCCTATGAAGTCATGTGTTTTGGGAATTGGATTTACTAAAAAACCTTTATTTTTCCTTAATTAGTGGTGATTTAAAACTTTTCTCATTATGAGTCCATAATTTAATCTATGTGGATAATACCTATTCATTTTATCCACACATTTGTATACAGTACCTTGTCAACAATTGCTCATAGTATTTTATCATAATTTAAAATATTTTTGTTTAGTACCAAACATATTGATTGCTAGATCTTCTTTCCCATTTCCAACTTTACCTAGTGTTAATTTTTGCTTATTTCTTTTACTATTGCTTTCAAAGAGTCAACTCTTGATTTATTTATCTATCTTTTAGCTTCACATTTTATATTTTTAAAAATATTCTTCTCAATTACCTGTCCTTGTATGACTTATTTTCCTTCCTCTGTAAATTAGCATTCATAAAGCTCTAAGTTACATTGTAGTTCCTCTCTGGTCATATTTGCTAGGTGTTACTATGTAGTTTTAAATTTTATTTATCAGCTAAATAGTCTTTTATTGCATCTTATAACTTCTTCCTAGACTCAATCATTATTTATAAGACTATTTTTGTATTTAAGACCATTTGGAGTTATTTTCATTGTTGGAATTAGAGACAAAAACAAAAATGAGATTAAGTCTTTAAAAGTATATTTGGATTTTCCTCTGAATCCTCAAAGATAATGTATCTTGTATACTTTGTAGACACTTGATTTCTGGCTAGATAATGTGAAGGTTTTATTAAACAAACCAAATTTAAATTGTTTTATAAAGCCCTATGGGACACCCATCAGGCTTCCTGATATGCTAAGGAGTAAATGTAGTAACATTTGTGTAGCATTTAGCATAGAGCCTAGCATATCATGACTACTCAATCAATGATGGTAGCAGTATATGTAATATAAAGTTGAGTAGTAGCTACATTAGAATGTGTAATAATAACAGTAATAGTAGTCTGGTAGCAGTTGCATCCTTCCAACCTGTTGTGCTAGCTCAGCTGCACTACTGATCTGCACAAGAATAAACTAGCTGTGTGTTCTTAGTCTGGGTTTTCTTATTTATGACATAATGTGGCTGGACAGGATGCTTCTGAAGTTACCTTTATTTCTAACATTTTTAAACCTCATTTGTTGGCATTTTCAGGACATGGACGCTATGTATACCAGATATAGGTTACACATGTCCTTTGTTCTGAATCTACTTGCTCGAACACTCTGTGATCAAAGCTCTCTAGGAACTGAAGTAAAGATAGAAAATTTTACCAAATTTACTTCTCCCTCTGACTGTTTTGGACAGGTAGTAATCAGTTCATTATTTCTGAAATAAAAGTAAAATTTCCAAAGCAGTTTAAGCCAGACCTATAATGTTCTATCACCAAAGTCTTGGTACCCATGCTAATTTGTGTTTATTTCCCACCATTATTAGCAATAAAAGAATTTTAGAAAAATATGGGATATAAAGAATTCTCATGTCTAAAGATGGAATCCAGAACATTCCTCCACTAAAATCTATTAATAAGGGCCAATATATGTATCATCTAAGAATGTTTATCATTAAGATTAAAATTTATTATTAAGAATAAATATTCTTATCATTTTTATTAAGAATGAAAATTTTCCATCATCTACTACAAGCATCTCTGGTAATTAAAACCAAATCGAAAGCTTTAAAACCTAATTATAGGCAATATGTGAATAATTTGATACAAAAGCAATAAAAACTATGACTTAATACCTGTTGAAATCAATGCCCCTGCTTACAGTTTTAATGGTTTTAAACAAGAGGTCAGAAAAGGCACAGACTTACCTGTGCGATAAACGAAGTTCCCTTCGGTTTCTGATGATGAAGGAGACACTAACTCTTCCTCAAATTCATTGGAACTAAAAGATCCCGAATGGTTCCTTTGCCTTGTCTTTCCCATCATGGCAGCATTTGTGGCCATGACATGTCTCAAAGAGTCATTAAGGTAACGGTTCAATAAGCTGCTCTTGTATTTGGGGGGTGACACGTAGTCCTCATTGGCCTGTGACTCTGGCCTCACTCCAGCCTTTATGACTGAGCTCTCATTTTTAATCACAGGATGGTGGACCGGATTATTATAGCCCCCTTCGTTCATGTGGCTTCTTGGAGGGTTTTCTCCATCTAAGGGGGAAAAATATCAGTAGGTAGGACGCCCATGTACTTTCCCCCAGCCACCCAATTGGTATGTTTAATCATTAACAATAAATGTAAAGAAAGAATATTTGAAGTGTATAAAACTAACTTTGATATTCAAGATTAATTTTGGGGCAAAGAAAAGCAGGAATCTATGTGATCTCTCTCTATGGTATTTTAATTTTAATGAATTTCACAGAAAATGTCATTCTGACACACAATAAATTATAAATAAGAGGAAACAGCCATCCTCCTGGTGGTCATTTATAGTACCATAAAAGTGAAAAAAGAACTGCTATGGCACCATTATATTTTGTGGGATTGACCTTAAAAATAGCAATTGAGGCAAAGCTAAGAAAGCAAAATAAAAATATGAACAAACCTTCGGAACACGAATCATCACTGCTTACACTAAGCCGCTCAGCATTTCCTTGAACATACTTGTTGTACAACTTTATTCTTAATGCCCAGCTTAAATCTGGCTGTCGAACAGTATTCTTAAGTCGACGTCTTGCATTAGCAAACCAATTTGACACCTAAAAAGTATTATTTTTCAATTAACAAAACATAAAAATTATCCACCATACAATTACTTTCCCACACAGGACCTAAGCCTCTCTCAGTATCTCTCACCACTAAATATTCTTATGGCATAACAGCACTGGACACTCAATCCACTTGTTCATTCGTTCAACAAATATGTTGAGTGCTTAGCACAGAGATTGAGCACTTACTGTATCTGGGGAACAGAAAAAATGAAGATGTCTTGCCATCAAATTTTCAGTCTAATAAGAGAGGTAGGAGAATATACAGACAAGTCTGATATAGGAAAGAGTGGCTTAAGATGCATTACAATAAAACTATACAGGACTCCAAAGGAAAGAAAGGATACTTTTATACATGACTCAAGACTTCATGAAAAATTTAAGGTAGGCTTTGAAGGAAAATGTCAGGTGTAATACCTAGAAAAGTGTGTTCCTGATAAAGAGGACACAGGAACAAAGACAAGTCAAGTTCCAGAGACATTCTGGTGGGTAAGGAAGGGGGACGAGTTAAAGATGACTTTGAATTACCAAATCTGTGCCATTTAAAGAAAGAAAGTAGGATTGTTTAAGGATGGAATGATATGTTTGTTTGGGGGCATGTTTAGTTGGAAACACTTTCTAGCATGTAGGTGAGATGTGAAGCAAGAAAATAAAAATGGTAACTTACAGTTTAAGGAGAGAAAGAACAGATTTGGGTCAAATGCACAGAGGTGATAGCTGAAGTTGTGAGAGGCAGAACGAAAAGAAGGTCAAGGACCAATGGAGACCTCTAGCTATTAATGATGTAAGAGTATAAAAGAGGAGCTGGCAAAACAACCAGAGACAGAGAAACCAGACAAGCTGAGGGAGAAAAGCCCAAATAATGCCCAGCTTTACCCTAATAGTCAAGTGCTACCAAAGAAATGAACACTGCCAAACAAAGGACATTTGCTTCTATTGTTTTTTAATAAGATGCTACCGAATTTCTAGAGGCAAAAATGGTACTTGAGGTTTCTTTCCAAATACCAGGCTATCATCAGAACACATAAATGAAAAACCTGAGAAGCTGGTATTTGCCTTTAAAAGAATAAAATGTGGAAAGAGAATCTTTCTGCCAATTTGTTCCAGAATATGACCCCACATTACCATAATGGTTTATGTGGCAATGCTTGCACCAGAAGTTCCTTTTTTCAGATTTGTACTATAAATACACACTTTTTGCATATTGCTCAAGCCCTAATTATTGAATGGAACTGGGGTGATTCCTACTTAAAAAAAACAAAAACAAAAACAAAAAAAGAGCCAAAGTTTTTTTCCTCTTTGTCCCTATGGGTAAAGCAAGGTATTTTTTCCCAGCTTATTTATATATACATATGCACAAAATATATCCTAAGCTTTAGATATATATTCAAATTACTGCCCTTGTGTCTTAAGCAATGATTAATTGTCCCCTTAAACTTATATACAATGAGGTAATATCTCACCATGGCATTTCAAAAGTCTTAGTTTTCACCAATCTTTCTTCCTGCCAAGCTGTGCTGTTATTACCATAATTCAGTCTGACTTCAAATTTTCAGTCTTTTCCAACCCTCTATAGACAGGGAACTTCTGGAACCCTTCATTCAACAAACATGTATCAAGATGCTCTTTTGCTTTAGCCATGGTGGTAAGTGCTAGGAGTGGACGTTGTGTCCCATGTACACACAGAAGGACCAGCAGTGAAAAACTATGAAGGGAATTAACACTGTGATACATGGGTTATTGCTACGGAAGCACAAAGTACCTGGTCCATTTCTTTGATACATTTCTCTTTCTATTGTCCAGGTCATGGCCAAGGTATTTGTCCAAGTCCTCATTACTACTAACTAAGAATTTTAGAACATTCTTTTTCTGAATTTCCATTCTGTCCAGTTGAATGGATCTTAACAACCACCATCAAATTCAATTGTTGATAAACCATTATGATTTAATCATTTAACTTCTTCAAACCCACACGAATGTCCCATTATCCTGTTACTGTGGTGTAATGGAAAGAGACCTGGTTTCTTGTTCTGAATTTGTCAAACACATGCTGTGTGAGTTGAGATAATACACTCACTTTTCTGAACTTCAAACCCTTCATCTAAAATATGTGATTCCTAACATCTTCGTCAACTCTCAAAATTAAGATCTGTGGATACAACCCACACTGTCCTATGACAGTGGTAATTCCCTTCAGAGCTGGTACGAACCCACCTTCTGCTCCCGACCACTACTCCCTCTAGCTCAGATACGTGTTTCTGCCCTTCTCTGCCCCTCTTATACACACACGACACGCTGCAGCTTCCTCTAGGCTGATGTCATAGATCTACTAGAACCCAAGTCTAAAACTTTTTGTTACTTTCTTTACTAAACATTGTATAATTCAGACAAACCTCAAATTTTAACTAATCTTAATTCTTAACTAACCTTAAATTATAACATCACCGCCACGTAGTGGAGTGTAAAAATATAACTTTAAAAAAACTCCTCATATTTTTATTAAAATGCAATGGGTCTTCTAACTTCAAAAATGTTAGTATACTATAATTTTAACATAGAAAAATGGGGGACCTTTCAATGCCATGGTAACATTAACTAGCTTTTCACCTATAGGGGTCATATCCTTTTTTATGTTTTAAACTTTTTAATCCTCACCTGAGGATATAGTTTTTATTACTCATTTTAGAGAGAAAAGAAAGAGAGAGAGATAAAGAGAGAGATTCATTGGTTGCCTCCGGCAGGCACCCCAACAGGGATCGCACTGCAGGCCAGGCATGTGCCCTACTTGGGAATCAAAAGCAGAACATTTTGGAGCACAGGACGATGCTCCAATCAACTGAGCCACTAGGCCAAAGACTTTTTTTATGTTTTACATATCCATAGTATATTAATTATATAGGGTCCTGTAGAAGTAAGAACTACTTGAGAGTGGTTGGTAGGGTAATAATATGGGTGTAATAATTTATAGTTTTAATTTGAACACTTCACCTAAAATGGCATATGGCATGCTTGAGTGTGATATTGTTATGTTGCAGAATTACATGCTTATGATTTTTTAATAAAATATTTCGTAATAGAAAGGGGCGTTATTTGTGCTACACCCTTGTATATTAAGAGATTTTCCAGAAAGTTTTTCTGATGTCTAATACAGGCTGTTTCTAAACTGATTTTAAGGTTTGATGAGCACCCAATCTGCTAATATATTTACTGTGTCAGTATTTTATTACTAGACATTCACAGCACAATCAAAGGGCTGGATACAATCTGAGACTTTAATATCTACTTGCATTAAGTTGTGCAAACAGCAGAAAAATAGCTTAACAAATCTGCGTAAATATTATTTTGCAATTTTCTCCCTGATGAATTAAGGCAAACTTCAACTGTTTCACTAAAAAAAAATTAGTTCAGGTTTCCTACCTTTAACTTACTAGTGGTTCCTTCAGGTTATTATTCAAATTCTCTTTAAAGTCTGTTTTACATGAAACAGGCCTCTTTACCGGGGGAGGTTCTGAAGGAACAGTATTTTAATGTCAAACTCAGAGCTTTAAAAACACTATTTTATAGTGAATGCTTAGAGAACCAAATATCTAGATGCTGGAAGAGTAAATGAAGTAATTTTCATCCTACTCCAACTGAGGTGTTTATATCCATCGTATTGACGGAGGAATCATTACAGTAAACCCAGGGGATATGCTGGCATCTGTCCACCTGTGAACACGCAGAATTAACAAAGTGACTCTGGGTTGCTCGACTGAAATACTAAGCACTTCATTTCCACACCATGTTGTATAACACTGGGAATAATGTAGAAGGACCTTTCTGAGATTTTGTTGAATATTTAACAGTTGCTATAATCCTTGCAGTTAATAACTACATACATATCTCAGCAGAAGCACTCATACCAAGCAAAACTAAAACTGTGTCAATATAGGAAGCAAACTCTTGCAATACAGCAGTTTTAACCACATGGTGCATGGACATATCCTTGAAATTTCAAAATTTTGCTGTAAGAGGAGGAAGCATGAACATCACTAAACTGTAATCTCAAACAGCTCTTGCCCTGCACTCTGAATGGTGATTATGAAAGATATCATCCTAGGGAGATATTTCACTCTTATAATCCAGAAAAATACAAGTATATTATTTTAAGGGATAAAAAATAAATGATAGAAAATATTAAAACCACAGAGATACAGCCTCATCTGCCCTTTGAAAATTTCTCTAAAGGCAATGATTCTTTGGTAAGATTCATTTCTTAAAATAATACAGAACCTTAATTGTATACCAGTTTATATTATTCTACAATAAAGCTATTTATTTTTTGAGAGTACAGAGTACATTTTTATAATATTTCAACAGTGGTCAGCAATAGGAACCAAGCACAATGAAAACTTTTGGTTGATTAGAATTAAAACACACACATACACACACAAACCATCTCATTGATAATTTTATAAAAATGCTTGTATCTCACTAGGAAGTAAGATACCAGACTCATGATGCAAATGAGAGTCAAACTTAATCACAGCACATTAGGCCAAGTCGAGTGTGTTGTGAAAGTTGCCAAGTCTAGAAAGTTTTGTAAATAATTCTTTCTGCTTCATTTTTCAGGCACAAATAAAAATAGATGCCTGTTAATGTCCATAGAGCTTCTCTTTCCATCCTATCCATTCTCTATCCATTGAAGTTGCAGCTTTTTGTTTCTGGGCTTCATGGAGATTGCTGATGAGGTTTTACATCCCTCCTTATTAATTTAAGAGTAACAAATTAAGGCAAAAATATTTATCATGAAAAGCTTGACAGTTTTACTCATAACCAAAAGGAAATGGTTAAGTATAAAAGAAATTATCAAAATATAAGCTAGTTTTGTATTAAGTAATGAGAGATATGCTAACAGCTTATTAATATAAATCATGAGAAAAGGAGATAGGTGTTGCAATAAACAAGAAATAGGAATTTGAAGCCAGGAATGAAGGGAACACTCCATGCTTGTCTACAGACAGGAAAATAGGGCATATTTCCAGATATATTAAAATAATAAGGTTAGTTATACTCTTTCTTATTCTATAAAACCATCATATAACATTAAAGATAAAGAGTTGCACCCCGGCTGGTGTAGCTCAGTGGATTGAGTGTGGGCCTGTGAATTAAAGGGTCACAGGTTTGATTCCCGGTCAGGGCACATGCCTGAGTTGTGAACCACGTCCCCAGTTAGGGGCACTTGAGAGACAACCACACATTGATGTTTCTCTCCCTCTCTTTCTCCTTCCCTCCCCTCTCTCTAAAAATAAATAAATAAAATCTAAAAAAAAAAAAGACAAAAAGTTGCCCTCCATGTATTCCCTACAGTAGGATGGATTTTAAAACTTTCTTAATCAGATTTCAAGACATTCTTTAGCTTTCATTAAGGTGTTTTTGAAATCCACATGGTGATTATCGTGGCATTCCCTCATTAGAACCTATTTGATCTATAAACATGTAGGGCCACTTTACTACATGGAAAGTACTGTGGTAGGTAGTATATGGTGGTAGAAGAATGAATACGACAAGGTCACTCTTCTCAAGAAGCCTGACTCCACAGGAGAAATTTATTTAGTGGGGGAGCCTGACTCATTAAGTAGGGGCCTAATTTGCAGGGATCAAAAGCTTTATTCAGACCATAGCTTTATTTTTTTTCCTCAGAAGTGTAAGGTATTTACATAATTTATTTGGTTCCCCATAGGGTCAGAATTTGGACATTAGTGCATGTCTGACTTTTATAAACCCCTCATATATATAAACATATACGTAGGTAGATATGAGTGTGTACATTTTTACACTTTACATTATGTATATACATTACACATATACATTTTTTCTTACATAGATACCCTTTATGCCTAACTGAAAAAATTGAACCTAAATTGGATTATATGTAAGGTTCCCTGATTGTAACATAGATTTTGATATTTTCATTTACTTTAAAGTTCCAGAAACCAGCTTCATATACTATAAAATTTAAAAATTGCTAAGCAAGTATCACTTATTATTAAGAATAATTATCATTGTCTTATTTAGAATTACATACTTTTATACAGAAAGAAACTATGAGAAAAGTTTTCATTATAGGAATGAAAACCTCATGTAAATTTGAAAAATGTAATAGCCTAACCAATGTCTAATGGCAAAACAAATTGTTACTTGTATTTGCACTATCATTACAGGTAGAAAGTGATTTGACTCAGCATGAAAATGAAAAATACTTGCATTGCATATTAAAAAATTATTGCACATGAAAATTTAAATGTCTACTAATGACAAATGTTATTTTTCATAATTAAAAATGTTCAAAATATATCATAAATATTTTTTGCTTTTATATAAAAGAATGGCAAGCATTAACTATGGAACTATATAATCAACCAAAATAATCTATTGTTATTTTGCTAACATCATTGTCAAACTTTTAATTCCTAAATGACAATCTTAAATGCTCTGGAAAGCAATTTTTATTTTATCTAAAAGTTAAATATTGTTTTTTAAATTTTGGGGTTCTTCCTTACTATATAGTTAATAGGATGACCAAAATTTCACAAATGCATTGATGTAGTGCTACTATAATGCACAAAACTTCTCAGCTCATTTAGTGCCTCCCCCTTTTTGAGGACATGTATTCTGTTTGCATGTATAAAAGTTCCTGTCAGCAAATTACTAAAGAAAACTGTGGTGTGATGGAAAGAGCATTTGATCTGGAATTACATTATTTCCAGACCTACCTCTACCCTTACTAACACATAACCTCCACGTGCCTCGGTTACATCATCTGTGAAATGCTGACAATAACTTCTGTGCTTCCCCATGTTTTTGTGAATACCAAGTAAGATTATGTATGAGAAAAAACGCCAGCCAAATGTAAAGTAGTGTTGCTCACTAGTGTTGTCCTACACTTGACGAGTAACTCAGCCATTTGAGATCTGCCTCTTCTTAACCCCAGTAGAAGGTATCATCAGGGAAATTTGTGGATTTTAGCTAATGCCCAGAATGCTGCTTCTCAAAAAAAACCGAAACACTCTCCTTGACCTTCCAACCCACCTCCTCGATTTGTCAGTGATGCTAACACTGAAAGTTCTACTGTACTTGGTTCTCAAAGTGTGACCCAGAGCCAGCAGCTTCCCCATCACCTGGAGAGCTTGTTAGAAATGCAAATCATGGGCCCCATCCCAGACCTACCTCCTAATCAGAAGCTCTGGGGTGGGGCCCAGCAACCTCTGTTTTCACAAGGCTTCCAGCGATTCTGATGCACACTCCAGTCTGAAAATCATTGTGACTAGTCCCCATCTGTATCCATCTATACAGGTCCATGACTCTGAATTCCCAGACACCTTCTCAAAACTCTGCTGTTGACTTTTCACTGCCCGCCCCTAACAGAACACCAAGAGATCACTCCTGGGACCGAGGATTAGCACTGAACTAAAAGAGAAGATTGAGAGGAGACCCAGAAACTCGACGAAGAATACAGCTCTGCCCCTGGGCCAACCCGTCATCACCCTGAGCGGCTGGAGCCAAAGCCTCCAGCTGGCTTTCCTCTGCTGCACCCTTCTCCAGGGCGAAACGCCAGGTGGAGATCCGCACAAACAGGAGGAGTGCCCGCTCCTCACCTCTCGCTAGGATAAGGATCAGGGGCTTGGTGGGCCGGGGTTTACCTGCACTAGCGTCATCTGCGAGCCGAGCGCCAAGAGTATCTTCTCGGTCTTGGTGGGGTACGGATTGTCACGGTGCTTGTAAAGCCACTGCTTGAGGGGCCGCGCCATGTCTTGCAGGGCCTGTCGCTTGTGCCTCACCTTCCCGCCGTTCTGCCGGGCCCTGGGACACCGGGGGAGGAGGAGGCCCTAGTGAGTGACACTCTCTGGATGCTGCCCGTAGGGAATCCCTCACTCGGGGACACACGCAGTTCCGCGGTCGCGGAGTCCCCGCCAGGCACCCCAGGGCATACAGCCCAGCCGCGCGCACCCTTCCCACGCGTCCCGAGGTTGAGGCGAGGGAGCCGCACAATGTCTGGGTGCGAGTATCATTTCCTCGGCATTTCTCTTTGAAGTGGCCTGGTTGTCGCAGAGGGATCATGTGGCAGTAAAGAACCTTAGATTTATCTTGAAACGGGGGATATCTTGAACCCAGTCACCCGAGGTTAGATATCTGGGTGACGATGGTTAAATGATTTGAAGGAAAATGTTATTTAAGCTACAGATTTGCGCAGCAGGGCTGTCCCCCTTCCCTCGCCCGCTGGCACTGCGCCCTTCTCTCGTGGCCCTGGCCTGGTGGGCTGGCTGGGTAGAGGTTGCTGCAGGCTCTTGGACGTTCTTTCAAGGAACTCGTGCCGGCCTCTCAGGGCTCCTCGTCGCCTGTGGTCAACGGAAAGGCGGCTCACTGGACGGCGGGAGTAAAGCAAGGAATGACCGCCGCCCCGCTACCCTGGTTCTCTCGGAGCTCTATCCAGTCTCCTTTGAACCTCTGGAGAAAAGGAGACACTTTCCAAAGGAAGGGTGCGAGGGAAAACACTCTGGGGGATTTTTCCTGATATAAGAAGAGTTAAAAAGTTTGAAAAGATCTGTCCCATGGAGTTAAAAAAGAAAAAAGAAAAAAAAAAGACCCCTGGAAAGGCATATTCCTAGGAGGAAGAGACAGTCTGGAGCCAGCGTTCGGCGCTGCGCTCCCAGGAGGCTCCGGGAGGTGTCGCCGCGCCGACGCCCTACCGCTCGGCGACTCCGGGAGGTTCGCGCTGTGGAGCTGCAGCCTCGGGGGCTTTCGCCTCTGCGCACTTTGAAATGCAATTCCACTCGAAAGGACTGGTAGTAACATTTTGACGAAATCTAATCTCTATTTTACTGACCGGCAGCAACGCAGGAACAGCAGCTGATGCAATCTTCCAGGTGGAGAGGGCCAGGACGGCTGCCCCTACTCAACCTGGCACTCCGGGAGCCTTCCGGAGGTGGCCGCGCTAGGGACGGCCGTCCACACGTTTGCAGCAAGAGCAGCTGGGCCCACCAGCGAGCATCGGCCCCTCACCCTTCTAAAACGAAACCCTGCACAGCAGGCTCGCGGCCTTCCCCTCCCAGCTGGCAGCGAGCCCTGACCGAGCGAGCACGATGAGTGCACCCTGGGCAAAGCCGACCTTCCCAGCACCCTGGCGAAGGCGAGGCGAGCCGCAAGGCGGTGTGAAGCCTTGTGACAGAAGAGGGGCAGCCCCCGGGGCTGGCCTGACCTTGGACGCCCCCGGCTGCTTGGCCCTGCCCTGTTCCTAGCTTCCTGCTCTGTTCTTTATATCTGGCTCTCAGTCGCGTGTCTGCACCCGCGGTCCAGAGAGGGACAGGTAACCTACTACCCTGATATCCAAGTATGGGAGGATGGCGGGGGCAGTTCCAGGTGTCCTCGGCTTCCAAAAAGTCTCTTTTGACCTATCCTAACGAATAGATCCCCCCCATATTTTAAGAAACTACTACCTTAAAATAAGAATGCGCAAAACCAGGAGGCGGAGACCTGCCCTACAGAGAAACTCCGCGTTCCAACCCTCGCGCCCCCACTGCCACTTGCATACCCGCGCCGCTCACTGCCCCCACCCCTCTGGACTGCGAGCGAGCCGGGGCCCCCAGAGGGTGCGCATACCCAGTCCTTCGGTGTCTCAGGCCGAGGTTGTCCTTGAGGGGTGGGCCTTCCGGAATGCCCATCTCGGGACGGCCATGGGGACTGTCCAGGACGCCGCCATAGGGCCGGCCGCCCAGCTCCCGCTCCGGAACGCCGTGGTCTTCAAAAAGCACGGCGCCGTTGATCTTGTCGAAGACGATGGTGTTCATGGTGTGGCTTGGCAGGGGCGCCCCGCGCGGCCACAGAGCCTCGGAGCCGGGCCACCGGGAGCTCCGCAGGGCTCGGGTTCTAGGAGATGAAGGTGCATCACGTTACTCGCTGAGAGCGCTCACACCCTGAGCGGAGCCCCAAACTTGGCCAAAGCGAGGGGCTGCGGAGTTCAGGCGAGAAGCGGCATCGCCGCACCTGAACCAGGGAACCCACACTTCTCCGTACCTGACTAACCCGCTCCCCTTGCTCCCGCACACTCTGGGGCAGGTCCCTGCCCTCTTCGTTGCCAAGGCACTTCAAACGGGAATAGTGTACCCGCGGCGGCAAGGAAAGTAATTCCTAAAGGAGCCTTTCTGCCTCGGTTTTAATCTGAAAGAACCACATTCCAGATAGCAGAGCGGGACCCGCGTGTTCTTCAGTCATAATGGAAGGCTCAAGTCTCTCGGGGCTTCCACCCGGGCCGTAAAGAAGGGTTGGAGGAAAGGGAAATTGGGGGTAACAGGAACAACCGCATGCGCAAGCCCAGTTAATGAGTCCCAGGCCGGACCGGGATTTCATGTCCTCTAGATCTTGGATGGTTTGGCTGAACCCCCTGCGTTCGTCCCTGGGGTGGGGGTGAGGGCTGGGAAATTTAGCAGACTCCAGAGCTAGAAAGTTAAGTGGCGTCAGAGACAAACACACCACATGCTCCCTCTCCCCCTAGATCTTTCCACCACCCTCAACCCGCTCGGGGACTCTCAGGGTCCGGGCAGTTCCAAGACGCGTGAGTCCCCGGCTTTCTGCAGCCCGCTGTCAGTGAGGTTCTCTTCCGCAGCGCGGGTGCGAGCCTGGCGCCCGGAGCCCTCCACACCCGCCCCTTTCCGGGGTTTCAGGAAACCATTTCGGAGGCTGCAAATGTTTTAGGAGAGGAGGAATCAAGGTCCATGCACCGCAGGGCCTGCGGCTGCCACAGTCAGAGAAAGCCTCCAGCTCACCTCCCGAGTCGCCGTGGCGGGGAGCCTCTGCCGGCAGTGCACCGGCGTCAGGGGCCAGTCCGCGCTGCAGCGGATCTGCCGAGTGACCGCCCAGAGGCGCACGGCCACCACAACCCGCCCCATCTCCCCGCCTCGAGCCACCAAGCGACCGAGCAGCTTTCTTTCCTTTCGCTGCCAGCGCCCCTCACCCCGCCCCCCCGCGGCGCGGGCTGCCCCCCCAACCCAGGCACAGATCCTCTGCCTCGGCGAGCGCCCACACTCGCCAACACCCCTCGCCCCGCCCTCCGGCTACCACAGCAGCGGCCACGCGCGACAAGTAGGGCCGTGAGCACGGCGAAACGACGGCTCCCTTCAGTATTCGTGGGGACGTGAAGTCAGACCTCTGCTGGCAGCCCCGAGTCCCATAAGAGTGAATCCTCCCTCCCGCGCAGACAGGTACGTGTCTGGGGTTTGGACACAATCTCGGCGACATGTGAAAGCAAATTTCCGTGCTCGCTACCCGGGTTCAAAGGTCAGGACTCGGTTTTTTTAATTGTTAAATCCGTGCGCTTAGTGTTTTGCCTTCTCGCTGCTCCGTTTGTATAATACACCCTTCCACAGCCCCACAGTCTCCCACCCCAGTGCTCCTGTACGTAGGGGTGTTTTCCCCAGCGCATCTGCCCTGAAGTTTGGAAGATTGGGCCCCTCTCCGGCTGTCCCCAGTCTGCAAAAGGTGGCAGGCAGTCAGACACCCGGCGTGGTTTGGGTCCAATGGCATGGCAGGAGCCGGCGGGAGAAGTTCGAGAGCTGGATGCTGACGCAAGGGGCCCCGGGGGCGTGGGAACCGCCGCTTCTCAGCTTCCAGGGAGCCCACGCGCGGTACCCCACGCCTCCTCTGGGCTCCGGTGCTCTCCACTTACCCTAATTCACTCCTAATTGTCACTTGTGGAGCTCCCTCCCATAGTGACTGCCCCGCCCAACGCCCGGGAACAATTTTAAAGCAAAGGAGGAGCGGTCAGGTGGGCTCCCGGGCCCTAGCAGACCCTCCGGCCAGGCTTAGCGGCCACCCGTGCGCGTCTCCTCTTAACTGTGGAGAGAAGTAGGGGAAGGGCGCGGAGCGCTGAGGCGCCCGGGGACAAAGTGAGCCTCCCACCCGAGGCTTCGGGCGGGGACTCCGCGCCCTGAGGGCTGTACCTGGGGGAGTGGGGCCGGCGGCCGGCGGCAGGGCTGCTGGCTCTCCCGCGTCGAGGCTAGGCTCACTCCCATCCCCGCCGCATGTTTTCCGCGCGGGCTCCAACGCGCTCACCGCCGCCACCGCCGTCGCCTCGGCTTTATTTACCCAGACAGGCGCGCGCGGCCCGGGAACAGGAATATCAAGGCCTTCTCATGTTTCCTGACTGCTTGGCCCAGCCAGCGAACATCCTGCGGGCGCGGTATCCACGTTCCCGGGCTGTCGAGAGGAAGCCTCTGCGCCCGCCCGGCCGTGCGGATGGCAGTTAACCCTCGCAGAGGGGATGCCACAGCCGGCACAGCAGGGAGCCCCCAGCCCGCGGAGTCCGCGCCAGCCGGGCCAGGCTCCCAGCTCCACCGGCCTCGCAGGCGATGAGCATAAGGGGCTACTTCCTTCGCACTTAGGGGAGAAATTCTCGGAGAGGCCTCAAGTAGCGCCCGGCTCAGGCTCTGGGAGCTGAGAGGCTGCGGTGCAAATCCTGTGTCTTAGCTGGCTGGAGTGTCGGAAATTTCACTACAAGTGGCTGGGAGGGCGAGACCACTACAGCGCGCCCTTTATTTTCCTCGGGATTAGTTGGAGTGAAGTTACAGCTCGGGTTTGTGCCTATAGCGCGTGAGCGTATGTAGGAGAGCCTTGAATCCCGGGAGCCTTTTTTTCTGGTGTTACTAGGTTTCTGAGGTCATGGCTGTCTCAAAGCCAGGCACACATTCACCCTCCCGGGCCCGCGCTGGAGTGGCCGCCTTCGCCTCGGGAGAGGCTGGGGCTCAGAGAGACCACGGTGTCCAGGTGTGGAAGAGAGGACGACCCTAAGGCACGAAGCAAAGTGAACAGAACTTAGAAGAATCCGAAAGGGAACACAGTGCACGGGGAGAGAATGCTTCTCAGATTCACTTACTGATGATACTTGGCTTCTCACCTTCACCCCAAATATAAGAGCAGCGAAGCTGTGGGTTAGGTGCACAGGAGGCTCGAGCACCTAGATGCCCGCGTTCTCGCTGCCGGCCTCGCCGCTGCAGCGACACCTTTTCTCTGTTTTTAAGAGCGAAAGTAGAGTTACCCAAACCTGAAAGGCATGGCCCCTTTCTCCTCTAAAGGTGGCTGGCAGCGCTGGGGCAGCGGCTCACCTATCCATGTTTAGATGGCCTGGAAGTTGTTAAAACATATACTAAAGCTATTTTTTCCAAGACAAATCAGACCCCTGAATTTTCTTTGCTATCTCCCAAAATACGAGGCAGTAAACTGGGATGTGGCACAATGTAAAGCAGAAAGGGACGTAGGTTTACATTTTTGACCACCAGGCAGATAAATAAAATCATTTGGTCGCGTTTCCCGATGTCCTTGGTTGTCTTTCATGATACGACTCGCGCTTCTAGAGCGCGCACCTCGTCTGGGAGCTGCACTTGACTAGCTGCGGTGTGAGCTCAGTGCAGACATAGGTCGACAGACCTCGCTGTAAGGATTTGAAGTCCAGGGTACCTCGCAAAGTTTCACCCACAGACTTGGTGCGAACAGAAGCTGCACAACAGAAGTAGTTCTAGTTGGTAACTTACAGGAGGAAAGAAACCTGTTCCCCCCTCCATGGTCTCCAAGACTGTGATGGTGGTCACCAGACATGATCATGAAATCAGCTGCAACGTTTCCCTCTGACATGTACTTGGTCAACTGTGCTGGGCAAAGCAAAAGGCATGTATGTAATTGCTTCCATTTTCACAATACTTACTGTAGTGAAATATGGAGATGTATGCTTTTTAATATAGGCTAGTATAGGACAAATTAATTTTGTTTTGATCTTACCTTATTTATGCAATTTCAAATGCATTTAGAGAACATTGATTAAAGATATATTTACATGTAAGATTTGTTTTCTTAAAATCTTATGTAAATATATAGAAAAATATTTCTGCAAAATGTTTTTTTATTATTATTATTAAGTAGAGGAATAATATATAAGTTAAGTTAAGCCTCAGGTTAAGTCACTGAAAATTAATACATGATCATTACATTATAGTTTAGTCATTAGAATTCATTTTAAAATGATAGAACAGTGGAGGGTCTATTTTAAAATGAAATTGTGTGGAGAATTCCTCTCTAATATACAAATGAGTGTGTATTTTGTAATAGACCAAATTTTTATTTTTGCATTTCATCCTTTATGTAAGAGTAAAATATCTTCATTTCAATCCACTGTTTAGGTACATTTATCATTATTTTAAATGTCACATTTTTCTAAATTGTGTTTTACTCAGCTTCTTATATTATATTCCAATCTCAGTCTATCAAATGCTATATTATAATCCTCAGAAGTAAAACCTTCAGTTTTAGAAAGATTTAAGAAAGTGTATGTAGTTTGTGGGATATCGCCTTAACGTAGCGGGGAAAAAAAACTTAGGCCAGAGCCAGAAGACTTGATCCCTAATCTTAATTCTGGTTAATTAGATGTTGGTTTAACATGAATTTACTGAAATGTAAAATGAATATTATTAAGTTTTCCATAAACTTTCCTCACACTCTCATCAAGATTTTTTTTTTTAATGTGAAAGCTACACATTGCTAAAGCTAGAAATATGTTAAGGAGGAACATTTGGTAGAAATCTAAATTCATTCTATTGGACTTCAAGTGTAGTTATAAATATAATTTTTACTTTCTAATGAAGGAAATAAAGAAGACTTCATTTTTAGCATGTTGATATTTTACCAAGGAACCTGATATTTCAGAACAAATATTCGTTATAATTTTTGAAAATAATGACTGCTTTTAAACTCTATTTTCCAGTTATTACTTATAGGCAATGAAATAAATTACAAAGCAGGGAATGACTGTCACCCTTCATCCAAATGGTAAAAACCAGTAGACTTATGAACAAATAGCAGATTCACCTCACACTTGGCTAGCAACCTGTAAAGACACACGCGGTGAAAGACACAGCTGCAGAAACATTGCGAACAAACTAGTAGAATGGGTGGCCCACAAATACCTCACGAGGCATTGTTGCTTTATTTATACTTTAATTGTATAAATAATACAGAATAAATTCTCTCGGAGAGGGTCTTCTCCATAAATCCACTCTCAAGCAACCAAAGAACAAGGGTACAAAGTGGAAGTTCCTCTTCAGCCAGGTACACCCAATCACATTTCTCAGAGGCAACCACCAAGAGAATGCCATTGCTGGTTTGATGGGCATCTTTTTTACTTTTTTCTGTGCATTCACAGACATGAATATAAACAAAACATTATAAGTTTGTTTTATTAGTTTTCTTAAATAAATAAGACCATACTTTACGTGTGGTTCACACAGAGGAATATTAAACTAAAACTTGCATTTTCACTCAATAATTTCATAAAGAATGTTCATAATAGAACATGTAAATATAACCCCTTTTTAACTGTTACATAATGCTCCACCATCCATTTAGCCATTCCCCTATGAATGTCTCTGTCTTTCCAATTTCCACTATTATGAACATGAAACATTCTTGCATGTGATTCTTTCTGCACATGTGTAAATATTTCCCTAGGAATAACCACACAGACATAGAATTGCTGGGTTGAAGGAAACAAGATTTTTAAAATTTTGATAGATATTTCTAAATTTCCTTCCAACTCACACTGGCAGTAACACATGGAAGTCCCCATTGCCTCCCCGGCTTACACACCATTGTGTGTGTTGGTCTTCATAACGTTTGCCTACAGGGGATAAAATAATGTCTCATGGGTTGAGAACATTTTCATTTATTTATAAGCCACTTTTTAATCTCTTAATTGAAGGAATTTGCTTATAGTCATTGCTTATGTTCTTATTAGATGCCTTGTAATTGATGGAGTTTTCTTTTGTAAACCATTTTTCCATGATTTATATGCTTTATACATTGCAAATACGTAACTTGGTCTAACGTCTGCCTTTTACCTACTTTGTATTTTGCTTTACTATAGGTTTAAACATGACTATAGATCAATAAGTCTGCCTTTTTTATAGATTCTGGATTTTGTGTCTTCCTTAGAAAGTTTTTTTCCCTATATTTTCCTGTAATAGTTTAAAACAATTATTTTCGCTTTGCTCTTTAATCCTTCTGAAATTAATTTGTATATGTTGCGTTGTAAAATCAAAAATCTAATTTTATTTTTTTCTTCTTCAATTTAGTGGGCAATTATTCTTATGGCACTTATTAACGAGTTTTCCCCCATTGACTGGAAACAACTTTTCTCATGTATGTGGTGGATTCCTTTCCATATGTAGGTTAGTCTGACAAGGCTTTGAGAGATACAAAACACCAATAGATTGTAACAAATTTACAATAGACCTCACAATTTAAAAAGCATCTTGCACTCTAAAGACTTCCAATATTATTCTGTTCTAGTTTCAGAGCATGTCAAGTATCAAAATAGTACTGTGCACTGCCTGGTAATGGTTCCAATTAGAAGGCTAATTCAATGCTGTTCCACGAGGCGCTGCTGTGTGTTTGGTTGTGCCCTGCTCAGAAGCAGCAGAGCGATTTCAGGCAGCCATATTCTCCAGAGCAGAGTAGGCTGGCTGTACACAGATTTTCCAGCACATCACAGGATGAGGTGACAATTGGGGACGAGCAATATAAGATCATTCATAACAGTGATGGGCCCCTGCATCTATGATTTGAAAAAGTAAACTGTATCTATCTTCTTGCTCAGTTTTTCTATGGAATCAGAATTAATTTTTTCACAAAGCAGCCAGTCAGGATGAGAACCTTCAATATGGTTGTACTTTAGTCAAATTCACTCCAGACAAAAATGCAAGTACTTTGTCACCACCGTTTCTAAAAAAACATGAGCTTCATATAAGTACAGACAATACAAATAATAAGCAGTTAGTAGAGCTGAGATCCAAATGGGTTAATATCTTGGGCCACTTCTCAGAGCTTGAGACAGGACCTGAAGGAAAGCTGGAGCCCCAACACCCCAACTGCTCCCTGACACTGTGAGTTTCTAGGACATCGCCCACATGAGAACACACCGTGTACTGGGATCCTGAGGAACACTTCACTTTTAAAACTTGTAACGAAATACTAGAATTCCTTCCAGAAAATTATTCTAGCTCAAACATCAATTTGCTTTACATCCA